CAAAAGGTATTTCCAATGATATTTTTACTAACGAAATTTTCAATGAAATTTTTTTGTTAAAATTTTTTTGAAAAAAAGTATTTCCAATAGAATGTTAAGTTTTTTCAAAAACAATTTTGTTGGAAAAAACTTGATTTTTTTAATGAAGGTTCTGTATAGAATACAAAGCTCAGCTGATGTTGGCTAGATTTGAAATGAAAATATAAACTGAATCAAAATAGTTTATGATATATACAAGCATGAATTGTTTATAGTTTTCCTCTTATTAACTTTTTGCATAAAATTTTGTCTTCCAAAGTAAACATGTTGATAAGGGATAAACATCCACTAATTAGATGTACAATATACAGTTAAGATTTATGAATACCCTAATTGTTTCTTCCTAAATATACTGACGTATATACCAAAAAAATCAAATTCATTTCCTCATATGCAAAAATAAACATGAAAATAATGGAAGAAAATATATAAATCTTTTCATAGAAAATTTAATTTTAAATTTTTATATTAAGCAATGACACATAATATATATAAACTTTATATGTCGTATCAATTTTTTCATTAAAAAATTATTGACTTTTAAAAATTTTCAAATATATCTATTTTTTTCGTTAAAAATTTAAATTTTTCATAAATTTCGTAAAATAAGATTAACTCATTTTTTCAATAATCAATATAAAGAAAATGTTATAAGATTTGAGCTCACCAAGGGTAAACAAAGAGTATACCGTTGTTAGCTATGGTGACTACTAGACCCTCTACTCAACTAAGGGCGAAGATCACATTGGCAAAGAAGGTGGCCAGCAATGAAGATATTAACGAGAAATACTCCTAAGACTACCCACCAAACTCCCTTAAAATTCAAACTTGTATTAAAACCATGGCTTTGCCTTATTTCTAGCACTTACTTTAGCCTCTCCCACACTCGCTTCCTCCAAAACAATGGCTCTCTCAAACCTCATGCTCCCTTCGCATCCTTTATAGAAAAATACATTCAACGTACATGTCCCTTCGTCTAAACCCTGATATGAAGCGACTTCCCTCCTTTGATTTTACTGATGCCCCACGCATCAACATAATTCAATCTTGCATCGGCTTGGTTCTTTGTGTTTCTGAAAATGATCGATGGCTTGATTTGTTTCATATGTAACCCCACCTTCAGGGTGAACTCTGATATTTCTTACTCATCAAGCTTCGAGCCTGTTGCCAACCATCTGAGTCTTGATCCTTCCAAATCAACTAAATTACTTATGAATTATAATGAATGTGCTACTGTTAATTTAGCTTTTGATCCTATAGTTAAGTTTTGTCATCCTGTTGGTGTCAATTTGATCTTTGATCCACTCAAATCACCTCATTATAAGATTTTTTTTCTATACGACGACAAATACTTTTTGAAAAAAATCCTGAAAGTACTGCATGTTATATATTTTTTATATATGTAGTCGACATATTTTCTTCAGAAACCCATTCTTGGAGTGTTTCAAAAATCAAATTCAATTGGAAGCGGTATATAAAAACTAATCATGCTGTGTTTTTTAATGGCGCGATTCATTGGGATTGTGCTGATACTAGATCACTATATATTGATGTAAATAGTGAATGCTTGAAGATAATGCCAATGCCACTGGTGCACAGTGGGTATCGCTATTTCGGAGAATTTGGAGGACATTTACACCTTGTAGTTGCAACTGGGATATCTCAATTAAAACTTAGCATTTTTGTGATGGAGGCTGATTATTTAAATTGGACCTTGGAGTACAACGTAAATCTTGATGCTGAAAGGTATGCTGTCGTCCCCAGGTTCCAACGCAATAGCTTTCGTACTTATCTTCTTTCTTGCGCAGTTCAACCTGGCGAGGAGAAAGGGGATTCAAGTGTAGTAGTACTTCCGGATGGTAAAGCGATTTCCTATAATTTGGAGCGTGGGACAGTGAAGAGGCTGCGGTGTTCAAGCATAGACAAATGCCGACATGATGATGCCAGATTTCATGCCTTTTAATACTTTGAGACCCGCTCTTTCATCTGAGAGTACTTGAGAGTGTTGCTTCTCCTCGAGTCTTATCTTGGTAATTAAGTTATCCATAGTATTTCTACAAAATAAAATTAAGTCATAGTTAATTGTGATCCCTAAAAACTACTGCTTTAATTTGTTCAGTTAATGATACCTATTCCAAAGTACTTGCAGCAAAAAGATTTAAACTAAGAATGTATAACCTTATGCATACTATTAGATTAATTATTATATTTTTATTGGGTCAAGGGTTCATCCAAAAATACTTATCCACTAAATGGATTCTGTTTAAGCCAATATGCAGGTGCCTTTTGGGTCATGTGTAAATGTGTGGGAATATGTGAGTTCATATTGTTTAAAATTAGAAAACCTCAATATCTTAAATTGTTGAAAGTATATTCTACCGTTTTTAGATATATAATACATTTTCTTTTTGATTTTAAATGAGTATAACAGGTATTAAATTGAAGACACACATGCTGCTGGATATGCCTTCTTTTGGTGTTCGAGGAAGCATTAGAACGAGTTAGATTAAATTTGTGTCAAAATAAACAATTGTTGTTCAGATGCTATATTATCATGTTGTGTTAGCTTTCTTAATTCCTTCTTTTCTTGTTTCTTTTTGCTTTTCTGGAACTCTGCTTTTGTATCTTTCTTCACTCAATAAAACTTCTACATTATCTATCAAAATAATTACATAACAATTACTATTTTGTGGCTTGTTTGTGAACAATTGTTGGGTTTCTCCTGTTTAATTACAGTTTTGTGGGTTGTTTATATCTATGTTTATATATGACTAAATGTTGTTCTTGAAAATTTGTGGTTATTGTCTATTTGAGCAATATCTGAACATAGATATATATTAAACTTGCAAGCAAAAGAATTAAATTCCTAATTATTTTTATGCACATATTAAGGGGAAGTATAGATTAAAAGGGAGTAATCCCTTATCTGCATATTAATACATAACACACATAGACATTGCACTCTTAATCCAAGACTGTTTTGTCATCATCGAAAAGGAAAAGAGAATATTGACTCCATGTGTTTTTAATGATAATAAAATATTTATTATTTATTGATTTCTAACTACATTACTATTTTTTTTAAATTTAAGGAAGGGGGATTTAAATCCTGTTATTTAGATAATGGGAGCATGCACCAACCAATGAACCAAATGCTCAGGTGCAATTACATTATTTAAGCATGTAAGATAAAGTTTAATTTTCATAATTAATTTGATATTTAAAAGCAAGTCAAGAAGCTTGCTCATTTAGAGGATGAGTTAGTCAGTTCAAAAAGCAAAGAAGAAAAGACTTAGTGAAAATAGAAAAGCTTTAATTAGTTAGCACAAGGCTTAGCTGATTAAAGAGGTACTGAACAAAAAAATAAAAAATTCTTAACTAGTTAACTAAAAGAACTAATTGGTTCAAGGTCAAAGCTTGATGTATGAAGAAGCACCAAAAACTAAATTCAAAGTGATGTTGTCCATTAAAAGGTGCCAAAAGAAAAAAAAATTCAAGTTTGAAAATATCTTAATCGGTTAAAGGTCATCTCAACCACTTAGAGTTGAAGAAAGAGAAGGCCCAATTAGTTAAAAGGAGAACTAACTAATTAAAGGAAAGTAGCTAGTTAAAGAAGTCTAAAAACAAAAAACTTTTAATTAGTTAAAGCACCTTTTAACTTGTTAAACAGTGAAACAGATTGAAGCAGACAAAGAAGCCTTAATCGGTTAAAGCCTATCCTTAACCAATTAATCAATTAATGGAACCCTACTAGCAAATTCGAATTTAAGCACTAAAAGATAAAATAATGGCCAAAAATGATTTTTCAAGTTTTTAAAGCCTCCCCAATGGTCACCAAGTGCTTAGAGAAGTTCTAAAAGGTTGGAAAGAGCCAAAAAGAGCAAAAACTTTCTCTTGTATACTTGTATTCAACTCTTATCTTTTTTAAAGTGTTTGAGCTTGATTTTGTACATCTTAGATCAGCTAGGTGATCAATTGTACTCCATCTTTTCTCTAATTCTTGATTGATTAGAGTGTGCGAGGCACTCTAAGGGTTATTGTAAGGTGATCAATTGTACTCCATTTTTTCTCCAATGCTTAGGTTAAAACATCACTTTATAAAAGCTTGGTAGAAGCTGTTAATTTCACTGGTTATAGTAAAGTTAGATTAAAAATCCTTGATTGAGAAGATCAAGGTAATGGATGTAGGTCAGGTAGACCGAAGTATTGTGTTTTGTCCACTTTATTGAATCTCGCCTTACTTGATACTCACTAATCTCAACAAGCTTTAAGCTATCAATCTTAAATCTTTCAAGCAGTTTTCATTTTCCAAGGAATTACCTTCCAAAATATTTTTAAATGCTAGTCACCCCAACTCTAGCACTCCTTTTGGGACCAACAATGTTTACTAGAATGTAAATGGCAATAAAATATGAGTCAAAATATTTTATGATATATGCAAAAATGAAATTGTTTATAATTTTTTCCCAATAACGTTTTGCATAAAATTTGTCTTCCAAAATAAAAATGTTGAAATAGAGGATAAACATCCAATAATTAGATGTACAAGCAAGATTCGTGCATGTTATAATGTACAGTCAAGATTTATGAATATCTTAACGTTTCTTCCTAAATTCACATACATACCAAAAAAATCATATACATTTCCTTAAGTGCAAAAAATATATATGGAATGTGTCATATTAAGCAATGACACATGATATATCCAATTTAGATTACCTATTTGCGCGTGTATGTGTGTATATGTCCAAAAAATTAAGCTTTACATGGTATTAGTTTTTTCTATTCAAAATTTTTTTAATTTTAAAATATTTCAAGTATATCTCTTTCTCGTTTAAAATTTCGGCTTTCCATAAATTACATAAAATAACATTAATCGGTTTCTTCAATAGTCAATATAAATAAGATGTTATAAGATTTGAGTTCAGTAATCGTAAACGAAGAGTAAACCCTTGTTAGCTATGGTGACTACCAGATCCTCCACCCGATTAAGGGCAAAGATCACATCGGCAGAAAAGGTTGCGAGTAGTGAAGACCTTTTACAAGAAATCCTCCTAAGATTACCCACCAAAACTCTCCTAAGATTCAAACTCGTATCAAAACCATGGCTTTCTCTTATATCTAGCACCCATTTTAGCCTCGCCCACACTCGCTTCCTCCAAAACAATTGCTCTCTCAAACCTCAAGCTCTCTTCCTTGACATCCTTTATAAAAAACTACCTTCAAAGTTCAAGTTCCTTCGTTTAAACCCTAACATCAGAAGACTTCCCCCTTTTGATTTTATTGATGCGCCACGCATCAGAATAATTCAATCTTGCGTTGGCTTGCTTCTTTGCGTTTCTGAAAGTGATTATCGCTTGAAGTATTTCATATGCAACCCCGCCACCAAAAAGTTCAAGGTGATCTCCGTTCATGAACATGAAGTCATTTATAATAGTTACGAGTATGTTGCCTACAAGCTAGGCCTTGATCCTTCCCAATCAGCTAAGTTATTTATGGATTATGATCAACGTTCTAGTGTTAATTTGGCTTTTGATCCTACAATTGAGGTTCGTCAGCATGTTGGTGTCAATTTGGCCTTTGATCCGCTCATATCACCTCATTATAAGATTTTTTCTATATGGCAGCAACTATTATATAGCAAAGATCATGAAAGTACTACATGTTACATATTTCCTACATACTTCATCGACATATATTCTTCAGAGACCAATTCTTGGAGTGCTTCAAAAATCAAATTCAATTCGAAGCATGATATAAATATTGATCGTGGTGTTTTTTTGAATGGCGCAATTCATTGGGATTGTGCTGATACTCAATCATGGTACATTGATGTAAACAATGAATGCATGAAGACAATGCCAATGCCTAGAGTACATAGTGGGTTTCGCTATTTCGGAGAGTCTGGAGGACATTTACACCTTGTTGTTGCAACTGGGTTTTCTCAATTAAAATTTAAAATTTTCGAGATGGAGGAAGATTATTCAAAATGGTACTTGAAGCATAATGTACACCTTGAAGCTGAAACGTTTACTGTCGTCCCCAGGCGCCAGCAAAGTCGAATGCGTAGTTATCTTCTATCTTGTGTTGTTCAATATGATGAGGACGAAGGGGATTCAATTTTAGTAGTACTTCCAAATGGTTTTGCAATTTCCTATAATTTGGAAGAGGGGATGGTGAAGAGGGTGCGTTGTTCCAACATAGACAAAGATCGACATGGTGGTGGCAGATTTCATGCCTTCCCGTACTTTGAGACCCTATCTTGCCTCTGAGACTTGAGAGTGTTGCTTCTTCTCAAGTCTTATCTTGGTAATTAAGTTATGCATACTCTTTAACATTAGTTAATGGATATCCACATAAATTAGAGCTATAAGTTGTTCTGTTAATGATTCCCATTGCAAACTACTTGCAGCAAAAATAATAGATTGCTTTATCATAGGAATTTATAACTAAAGGGTTAGATTAACTATTATATTTTTATTTCAAACAAATAAAGTATTTGTTATTAGGCTTAGGATTTAGGCTTAGGATCTTAGCTACTTATTTACTAAATGGATTCTATTTAAACCATTGTGTGTGTAAATATGTGAGATTATATTATTTAAAATTAAAAAATCTCAATATCGTAATTTATTGAAAGTATTTTATAGGTTTTAGATTTATAATACCTTTTGTTTTTTAATTTTAACAGAGTATAGCCTGGTTTTGATTTAACAGGTATTTATTGAAGACATGCATGCATGCTGCTGGGTATGCATTTCTTTGGTGTTTGAGGAAGCATTGGAATGGGTCAGAGGAATGAGTCAGATTTAGTTTGTGTCCAAATAAACAATTGTTATTCAAATGTTATATTAACTTGTTGCTTTAGACTTCTTAATTCCTATTTTCTTTTTGCCTTTTTGAAACTGTGCTTTGCAGCTTTCTTCACTCAATAAAATTTATGAATTTTCTAGACATTCAAATCTCATGTGTGTGTGTGTGTGTGTGTGTGTGTGTCTGGTCCCTCTTTCCCTTTGGATATATACATATGCAGATCTTAATGAGCTATTACAGTTTTTTTATTATATGTAGTTTCTGGTTTGATCTAGTTATTGTTTGACAAGATGATCTTCCCAACGCGCTTGTCTTAATTTTTTTCTTTCATTGATGGATTCAGGAATGATGGTTCTTATTTTTGTTTTAAGTTCTCATTAGCATCAGGAAATTCTGATAATTGATGTTTGAAGACAAATGTTTCTTAGTTTGAGTTGTTGCAGTTAATTTCTTCTTATGTCACGCTCATTTTGAATGTAGTTTCTATATTGCAAATATTTGTTAAACAAAAAAGCATATAATGTGTGGTGAATTTTATGTACCTTGAGTCAAACCTTGTTAAAGGTTTATAGCATTTCTCTTTAAATGAGGTATCATCTTGGATTCGAAGCTTTGAACCATTCCCCTTTTAACCTTGTTGGAAAGACATTAATGACTAACACACTAGAAAAAAGAGCTAGCTAGCAAGGCAAACCTTGTTCAAATAATTGAAATTTGGTCATTCTTTTCCCATTAATGTAGATTATTTGTTCTGTTCCATTAGTAGCACTTTGGAGGGTCCCTTGTTTGCATTTGGATGTTCTTGAGGATATGGACCATGTGCTTTTATTCATTTTCCATCAAGTCAAGTTAGTAATAATATATGCTTATGAAAGTTTTAAGTTTTTTTCTTTCTTTACTTTTCTAACCTATCGTGGTCAATGTTGCTTGTTGCATCTTATAGCATTACCGTTAATGTCAAGGTGTGCAATCTACTTTTATTAATGTGAAAATACTCTAGTTTTCCAAAGGTTAAGCTCCTCCTCTCCATTCCCTTGTTACTTATCAGTCACACATCAAAAGGTAATTACTATGTAACCCAAGTATGTGCACCCCGATCCAAGAAAGCATACAGATTGCAAAGAGGAAATTGAGACGTGAGAAGTTTTATATGGGAGGGATCCACCCATCATTTTGACACAGATACGTTGTTTGTCAAAATTCATGCATAACTACCATTAGCTTATGAGATATGACCTTGCAAATAGAATAAAGATTAAGGACACAGATATGTTTTGTCCTTCTTTCAAATCTAAAACTTTATATTAAAACTCTCCCTTAAGAGTCTCAATTGGATGCCATCTAAGTTTGCCAATTGCACGACACATGGCATGAAATTTGGTCTGCTCAAGTATTTGGCCCCCGTCATGCGCTGCATTCAAGCAGTATTTGCTGTAAATGTTAGTTGTTGGCCCATGTTAGTGTTTTTTTAATTTTCAAAGTCTACATAGTCTTTTGATTGTAAATATGATTAGCTTCATAGTCTTTTCAACTCGACTTATATTCTGGAAAGTTCTATGTCATTTTTATGTTTTGTTTTTTCCTTAATGTTTTCCATTTGGAGTTTTCCACTGTTTACCTATGCTTTCTTTCAACTCTGCTTTGCTTGTTTTGGTTGGTTATTGCCTTTTTCTCAGTTCTTTTTCTTTTTCTTTTTCTTTTTCCCTTTTTTCCCTCATCTTTTTATGCTAAGTTTGTATCATTTGACATTTGTTTTTGACTAATTTTTCTATTATAAATTCGTATATAATTGTTTCGAATAATGCTTCCCCATTTTTGACTTCTTTTGCTTCTTTATTTTTCATTTTATTTTCGCCATTTTTGACCTCTACTATTTCCTATATTTTTTTTCTTTATTTTATGATAGCTATTTGATATTTATTGGCACAAATTTTCTCCATATGTGCGTTTGTGTGTGTATATATATATACATATATATAAACCTTATAGATAATAATTAATGTTATAAATATTGAAATTTCACTTTTTATGTACATATTAATTTCACTCTTCTAATTAAAAACTCCATGTATTACATTACTGTTCCTTAATTTTGTCTCATAATTTTTTATATTTGTTGAAAAATTCTTTATATAAGTGTACTAACTTTGCATCGAAACTATTGTTAATTAGTTTTCTTTTCATTTACAATCCATTTTACACATATACTATATTATTTTTACATTCATTTTTAAGCTTTTTTTTTTTTTGAAAAACTAGTTTTATTTTTCCATCACCGACTATGCCATGACAAGTCTTTAACCTATTTGGTAGAAGACTTCAGTGGCATAGAAAACCTGGTGAAGGCAAAATCACTTTACACTTACAGAAAGTTTGCTACTCAACAAGCCATTAGCAGCACAGGATCCTATTCAAAGCCAAAATAGAACAAATGATCCTTCAAAAAACATCAACGAAGGAAAGCCTGTGGACAACTGATCCCACAATAATACCTTACTTTGGAATCAGAACACAAGGGGCCACCTAAAAAAAGAAATGTAAAGAAAGCCTCAAAAGCACGGTGCTGTAACAGATACTACTCCCAACCAAAGAAAAGATCGAGCATTAAAACGAAAGAAGCCTAAAGTCCAGCTTTCCAAACCCTAACTCAACCTTCATCAATTATTCCACTCAATCTCCAAATCACGAAAACCAAGCAGCCATGACGTGAAACAATCAACAACTTGAGAAGCAATCACACAATCCCCACAAATCATAATCATCGAACTGGAAAAAATTGCTAAAACTGGGAGCTTCGTTAAGAAATGAGACCATAAGAAGGCTGAAAGAAGCCCTTTCAATTTCCAAACGATAAGCTCAGCAACCATTTTGAAGCAGAAAACAGCAACCATAGCATCAATCTTATTACCAACAAAAGAACTGCAACCTGCCCCCTCCAAAGAACCGTAACCTGCACTAAACCACTCCAAACAACTTGAGTAACCCTCTTTGCAAAGGTGAAGGAAGAACATACAATGCGGCAATCCAATCAAAACCAATGTTCCTCAATTCAACTGGGACACAAAAACCTACTCATAAATAAGAATGAAGTAAAATAAAATAAAAAATCCCAATGAAAAATCGTCCCTCAAGCAGATCAAAAGACCCTCCTACCTACTCACACCCTTGAATCACTAAGGGGCCAACCTATGCCGTCTCATTCCTTCAATCCCCTCCAAGTCCCTACAAAAAAAGAAAGAACAAGAAACATCGGACAAAAAAAGATTCCTAAAATAAGCCACAACATCCCCTCCCTCCTTTCCCTAAACACATAACAAATGAGTTCCCCCCAACACACGGAGCAAGAAAAAATCCTATGAGACCCCTCATTCCCTCAACTCAACTCTCTCAACCTCTTTCTAAGTCTTTTTCCCCCTCCCCACCCCCATGTTGTTTTGAATCTCCTCTTTCTTTTTCTTTTTCCTATTTTTTTTTCTTTTTAACATCATTTGTTTTCCTTGCTTTCCTTTGGTCCTCTTTTTTCTTCTTTGCTCTTTTCTCTTTTCTCTTTTTTCTTTTCTTTTTCGTTTTGTTATTTCTTTGGTTTTTTTTATTTTCATTTCATTTTTTGTTATCATTCTTTTTTTTTTATCTTCTTTCTTTCATCATTTAAGAAATTACCGGCAAAGTCAGTCAACCATGTCAAGGCACAAAAAGAGTATTAGAGATAAAGCATGCATTGACTGACCATGCATTAATGTTATCATTTTGTTCTACATTATGTATTTTGCGTCATTGTACTAGTTATTAAATATATTATACCTGTAGTTATCAGGTGTCTTTGACACTTGTCCATTATGTAAATAGGTGTTGACCATATAATGCTTGTATATATTATGTGTTTGTTGATTAATGAAGCATTTTCCTCCTCCATCTATTGCTCTGTTGTTCTTTTTTCTCTCTACAAAATAGTCAAAACCCCTGTTTTATAATTTTCTTCCACTTTCATGTCATGTTATCAGAGCATATAATCGATTTTTGAGCCAGTTATTCAAATTCATCACAAATTTATTCCTTATCAAAATGTCAACTTTAACTATCACAAAACAAACTGCATCTATTTTCGATGGCTCTAACTATTCTATTTGGGCCATTAGAATGAAAGCATTCATAAAGGGTGTCAATCTATAGAATGCAATTGAAAATGAGACAAAAATACCATCATTGAGAGATAATGCCACACTAATATAGGTGAAGGAATATGAATAGGATATAGCAAAGAAATTCAGAGCTTTATCCTTTATACACTCAACTTTTACAAAGTCAGTTTTTAGTCAGATTATGGGATGTGAGATAGCAAAACAAGTTTGGAAAAAGCTTGAAGAAGAGTTTTTAGAGTCTGCCAGAAGTAAACAAATTCGTCTCCAGAATCTCAGAAGGCAATATGAATTACTGAGGGTGAAAGAGAGTTAAAATGTGC